TTTGCAAACAAAAATAAAAAAAAACCCTCTTTTTTTTTTTTTTTTTTTTTTTGCCAAAAGGAGAATTTTGGCACAAAAAAAAAAGAAAGAAAAAAGAAAAAATCATTTTTGACAAAAAATGACTTAGGCCATAATTTTATGAAGGTTCAATAATTAATTTCAACAACAGGGAAAGCATGAATTACTAAAACAAACTGCAACATAAACACATTTGTCATAAAATCAGAAGGTAAAAAAAGTTGATTATGTTTCTCCTTTTCTTTTCTTATGGTTGAATTTGCCAAAGAAATAAAGTTTGTCTTCTGTGATTTCTGAAGAAAACAATGCCTGCTAGATTTTACAGTAGTGTCCAAACCAGCAGTCTGAAGCAGCTAAAATACAAAATGTAAATGTATCTTCTATTACAGCAGCATCATCTCAGAGCAGATTATGTTTTAAGCTGAAAACAGATAATTTTAAAATAAAATGAGAAAAACTATCATCCTGGATAAATGTTGGTTTAAATATTTCATACACATGGTAAATTACTCTCAAAATATGTTGGAATATGTTTGAAATATTCAATATGTATTTTCCCCAGTGTATAATAATACCTTTAAAAGAACTTTTGTTTTTGCCTTAGCAATGAAAACAGCCTGTATCTCAGTGTCACATACCTCAACAGGGGGCAGCGGTTCGATAAACGTTCCTCCCGCCACTGGACTCGAACCGGCAGCCCTCCAGTCTCCTCCCCAGTACAAGAAGGGAGGGGAGGAGGAGGCGGCAGGCGAGTGAGGCAGGGTGAAGGATAGGGAGGGAGAGAGAGGCAGCGAGTGGGGCAATGGGGGCGTGGCCGACCCTTTCTTGGAGCCCTTTTTCTGCGGTTGCGCCGGCGGGCAAAAGGTGATGGAGGGGGAGACGGCCAGGGACAGAGGGAAGGGGTGAGGCGGGGTGCCGCTGACCCGTCTGCCACATGTTTGAGATGGGCCGAAAGCGGGAGGAGGGAGGAGGGAGAGCGAGAGGGACGGAGGCAGCGAGCGAGGCCGAGGATAGGGAGGGTTACTCACGGATTGTCGGAAGGGTTGAAGGGGGGCAGTGGGAGGGACCTCCATGCTGGGTTGCTTCCCAGTGGCTATGCTCTTCCTCCGGGCACGGTGATCTGCAAGGAGGAGCAGAGATCCGCAGGTAAGACCACGTCTGACGTCGACAGGACAGGGTGCTAAATATGCACCGCAAACACGGCAGAAAACCAGAGGCGGTGTGAAAACAAACACCTACAGGAGCGCATGTCTGCCTGAAAATGAGCGCTGAACAGTGCAAAGGTGAGGCGGATGGAGAAAAAACCATAAAAGATCAAACTGCAAGCGAACCACAAACTTCCACACACCTACATCCGTCTCACACTAACAGAGTAGGTGTTGGACTTGCAGAGTGATAGATTTCCTGTCTGGATGTCTGATAAGGCGAACGTTAACATCGGTGCTTTGTGAGGAGGAAACGCAAGATGCATGAATAAAATGGATCATCAAACAAACAAAGCACTCATCGACTTCCTCAGGTAGTCACAACATAATGCACCGTGCTGTCCGACAGCTGGGAGATAACGTGTGAATCTGTGGAAAACAAACCAATGACCTTCTGTCCAAATCCTGGTGAATTTTTAACAGGTGCAACTTCATCACTGCACCAGCCTCTATCCTCAGTCCACAAAATACAGGGAAGGTCAATGAAAAGTCAGCGCTGAATATCAGTTTCCTAAAAGTAAGTGACTCTTATGGCAGCCAGTCAATGTGTCACAGCAAAGGATGAGAAATAGCTCTACTGGTCTCAACGTCGAAGTGACAAGTTAAAGTAAAAACTCAACCTTCTGACGGTGTTTAGGTATTTTTTGTGCCGTGGAAGCCAACCCCCCTGGTGTTATACACTGTATGAAGGAAACTGAAGGACAGAGAAACGTGATGGAAACCAAATGAAGATCAAAACAGAGGGATTAACTTTATGTGTTTGAACTGGAAGTGAGAGAACACACCCAAACTGCGCCGTGTCCAGCCCTGCGTGACGCAGTGCCTGCTTGGTTACCTCCAGATGTTTGTAACTTGACGCAGAGCCTGCATGTCAAATCACGATTTGGAAGGTGCAGCAACGTCCACCTGCATTTATATGATCCCTCTCTGAAGACTCATTTTCAGAGAATAATGCACCACGGGATGAGTCAAGTATAAAAACCAACCACTTGCTTGTCTTGACCAACTCAAACCTCCAAAAGCTTTGAAATGCCGCAATATAATAACGTAATAAAACATCATTAAACCACATTGTGCAATAATCAACACAAAACACAATAAAATCCTTGATTACATTTTGAAATACTATTTGCTGCATATGTAACATTATTACATTTAGCACTGGTTATCACAAAATGATCATTAGCTTGTTTTTTAGAAATGACAATGTAGTAATGTAGAACATTATGCCATAAACCATCACAAGTTTTTGTGTTAATATTAATCATTATCCTTCTAATAAACTGCGAAAATTACAAAATCTTGTCAAGAACATTTTGTTCTACTTTCTAGTGCAAATACCTTAGTACACTTGAAATGAGACAAAATGAATTTATAAGTAACTTTTCAGCGAGATTTAAGATCTTGTTTTAAGTCGATAATGACTTAACATTGATGAAAAAGTTCTGGTTCCACTGGCAGAAAATTTTACTTACAACAAGACATATTTCCCATTTTATATGTGAAAAGGACAAAAGAAACTGTTACCTCCGAGCAACACAAGAAATACAACAGGGACAATGTTTGCATTCGGGGTTAATAAAACTTTAGTTTTACATCCTTCATTCTCTGTATACAAGCTCAAACTCCAGTCTCTCTTCTGAGTAAAAATAAGCCTTAAAATGTGGTTCTGGTATTCTGATTTCTCATTTCTGGACAGATGTATGCAAAACCAAGGTGACTGTTAGTTTTTCACTGAAAGAAAACGGCATGGAAAGAGTTTCTGACATAAATAATAAATGACTAAGCTGACCGTCGATAATGTTGGGAGTCTCAAATTCACAGCTGCTATATTTTTACCTCACTTGAGTGTTTTGACTGTGCTGGAAAGTATCCACAAATTATATGTTTATCACCAGCATGGGTTTTCTGTTAAAGCATAGAAGGAAGTCAGTTGAATGGACCTTTTTTTATCTGATTTCTACAATCCATGTGGGATCACAGAGTGAGGGGCGGGCTACACACTGGACAAGCCACCGTTTTATTACAAGAGAAAAACAGGACAAGCTATCATGTAGCACCTGGAGAGAACCCGAGAACAAGGTCGGAGTTCAAACCCAGAACCTTCTTTCTGCAAGGCAGCACCACCATTCCATTACACACGTTTTATAAATAAATATGAAGTTGTTACAATCATTTAAGATATGATTAGAGCATATTTGAGTTAGTTTCATAGTGTTGTCTCAAAGTACATTCAGTACATCTATGTAGAGACATTGTTTCTTTCCTTTCTCTTGATTCACTTTGATGATTTTACTTTCCATTTTTGAAACTCAAACTTGCAGCTTTGCAAATGTGGTCAAATGTGAGCAATAAAGGAAAATCCAGTCATTATGATTCACCGACTGGAAGCCATCTGCTAGTTTCCACTGGATAATGGAAATGTTAATGTTCATCATTTGGAAGCAGAAATATATTTTTGCAAATTTCCATGTAAATTTATCCAACAGCTGTTAGAAAAAATTAAATAAACTGACAAATTCCCAGCCTGCTAAAATAAAAAAAAAAAAGTGTGTCCCAAAATGATTGTAGCTTTTGCCAGAGCATCTTAAATATGAACAGCTATGAAAAGCAACCAGCATGTCGCAGCACATTCCCCCACGTATGAACAAGCCGCTGTCTTGTCTAATAAACACAGGGTGGCATGCTAACAGCCCCGGTTGAATAATCATTTCCAGTCTCCTGAATCCAGCAGGAAAGAATCAAAGCCCGCTTCATCTCTCCACATCTGCAGGTTTTTGCCGTTTTTATCCCGAAGATCAATTCTACACACAGGTTGGTTACATTTGTTTGTTCCTGTTCTTACATTTCAGACTCCAGATCTGACTTCTCGTCTAAATCACACCATCCATCTCATTGCTCTGTTGCTCTGTCTGCTTTTCCGTCATGATGTTCAAACACACACCTCCTCTCTCCCACCCAGGTATTTTACATAATTCAAACAGAGCATTCATCCTTCTACCTCTCCTCAGCCCTTGATCTCTCTCTCCTCCTCGGACTCTCTTCCCCAACAGTTTCTTCCCCTTTTTCTGCCCTCTTCTTGTTCTGATCTTGTTCCCTCCCGCTCAGACATGTTCGGACTGAAGAGCCCTCCATTTTCTCCATGCTTACCTTTATCTGTAGTCCTCATTTATCCTCTCGGCCCTCTCCCTTCTCTGCCTTTCATTTACCTGTCCAAATGGCAATCTTTTCACTGAGAGCCTGCTGGTCTCTCTCTGTCTGCAGTTCTAACATTTTCTGCAACCCACGCAAACACGGGGGAAAAAAAAAAAAATCTACCATGACAGAGTTTGCAGTAACTGTGCCAATGCCTCTTTATCCAAGTTCAGAGCCTAGCAGTAAATTGCCACCTGTATGTTGGATGACTGGCAAGCGAAGGAAATTTCTGTAAAATACATATTACATCAGATATAAAGTGGGTCTTTACATTAAAATATGATCAATAATCTTGACTTTCCTCTTTAAAAATGTGCAACAAATGACGACAAGCGCTATGTTTTTCCCTCCCACACCTCCAGTGGAAATGCAGAATACAAGAAATGGCCTTTAAAAGGTACAATATTTCAGGGGAAAGTTTCTGCTGTCATATTGCTGGAGGTTGCAATGAAATACATAACTACTCTTGCAATTTGTACTAAATGAGTTATATCTCAAGGAAAGAGCTTCTCAATGACATTTTGCAACCAGTCTCTCTCTTTAGACATCCAAAAACATTTTTTATCATTTTCAAGGTGGCTAAAAGTAAAACTGATATCTGATAAGTTTTCAAAGCATCTGCAGTCCGAACGAGTCTCATCCGACTTTTACGACATTATTCTCCACAAGAAAAAGCCAAACAGTAAATCTGGACGTAAACAATGTCCAGATTATAATTATAATTATGAAAGAAGTCTGTGCCAGTGAGTCGCATCACATCTCTGTCCCAACACTCTTGGTTCTAACTGCGCATTCAAACAGACTTCTCTTGACTAAAAAAAGGTGGTTATTGCAAATAAAATAAAAAAAATTAAAGAAGAGCTTCATTTTTTATTTGGATACTCAAATGTAGCAACTATCAGTAGTGCTGTTAAAATAACACTAAACATTGCTACGAAATTATGTAAAAACATTTATTTATGGGTATTTCAATTTTGTTTCCATAAAGCAAAATGGGTTTTAGAGAACAAGACAGCTAAGGCAGAGACAAAGTCCTGGTAAGAGTGCAAGCCCCAGTAGATTTAACCATGCAGAGCTAAAAGAAACACTCCCAGCAAATTACCCTAAAATTATGTGCTTGCACACTAAATGTTAAATCTAATCACAGTATAGATAAAAAAAATCCCAGCAAGTAAATAGTATAGAACAGCTTGTTTGTAGGAGGCTGAAGGCAAAACTTTCTTCTCTTTAAAATCAACACGGCAGAGGGTCGTAAAGTTCCATCTGGAAAAACCACAAACCTTCTGGATTGATGTCCTCAGGACAGAAGATCAAAGTACAGATGTCTGGCCATAATGCACAGTGGCATGTTTGCTGAAGACCAAAATTAGCATATGAAGACCTCATCCAGACTGTCGAGCACGGCGATGGAGGGATGATGAGTTGGGCTAATTTTACAGCCACGTGACTTTGGCACCTTCAGCCTCTGAGTAAAGCTGTAACTTTTCTCTATGCTGAAGTATTTAAAGTTAAATGCAATTCTGAAGTTTGGCCCAAACTGGGTCAACAGCAGGTCTATGGTCCTAAACACAGAAGGAAGTGTTGTGTTATGAAGTTTCAAATGATATGCATCCAGAAACTAATTTCATACAGATAGGACAAAAAAGGGGGAAAGTCTGCCCTCATATGTTTTTTTTCAGATGTTGCAACTTTGCAACCATTTTTTATCTGGATCAAAACT